TCTAATCGCGACAATCTTGTCAAGTTAACACTACACCTCTGACAATCTCCCGTCGATCCTCTTCAATAGGACGACGGGCCTACAAAGCTATCACGTTAACAATCACCTCTGATAGTTCTTCGACACTCCAACTGGTGTATGAGTTTAAACTGCCCCCCTAGACTCCAACTGGTGCATGAGTCTAAACTGCTCCCTTACACTCCAACTGGTGCATGAGTTTAAACTGCTCCCTTACCACTCCGACAAGTACACGAGTATAAACTGCTTCTTCTGATCCTCCAACTGGTATAAGAGGTTAAACTATTCTCTACACTTCCACTTCTTGAGCCAGGTTCCCAGTTTCGGCGAACCGCTCAAATCAGGCGAGCTTAACAGTTTAGGCGAGCCCATCTATTTGAGCCAGGTTCCCAGTTTCGGCGAACCCGGCGAACCGCTCAAATCAGGCAAGTTTAACAGTTTAGGCGAGCCCCACTTCTTGAGCCAGGTTCCCGGTTATGGCGAACCGCTCAAAACAGGCGAGACTAGCAGTTCAGGTGGGCTGCATCAAACTCCCACTTGGTCAAACCTTCAGATAGTTAGGACCAAAGCCACAATCCCCCGCCAATCCTCTTCAATAGGATGGCGGGACCCCCACTGTCATGTTAACGGTCACCTCTGACAAATCAACTTACCAGTCCTCTTCAATAGGATGGTAGGTCCATAGAGTTGCTCAAATCGCAATAAACTCCCACTGTCATGTTAACACTACACCTCTGACAAAATCAACTTACCAATCCTCTTCAAAAGGATGGTAGGTCCTCAAAGTCGCTCCGATCGCGGCAATCCCTATCATGTTAACGATTACCTCTGATAGCCGACACCATCATTCCCGCAAATGATGTTGTCCAATCAATCGTCACACTCATACGTCCCTGAACGATTTGATTCTCCCAGCATCGTTTTTCCCATAAAAGGCGTTGTTGTTTGATAGTGGCCTACTATGCGATGTGCTGCTATTTCAGGGTTCGTCTTTGCTCCAAGAGAAGACAAATCAGGGTTGGTCTTCATCTTTGCCCTAAGATAAGCTTCCCCCCTTATACTCCAACTGGTGCATGAGTCTAAACTGTCCCCTTATACTCCAACTGGTGCATGAGTCTAAACTGCCCCCTTACACTCCAACTGGTGCATGAGTCTAAACTGTTCCTACCCTCCGACTGGTATACGAGGTTAAACTGCTCCCTTAAATCCAAACGCCTCGAAAGGCTAAGGATAGAGGAGAAATTTTAGCATTGAGCCTAAGAGAGACTCCTCGACAACTTACCATGCTAAGGGCAAGAGCATGGCTAGTCCAACTCAAACGGCAGTTGGTAAAGACAAATCAAGTCCGTTGATAGCTGAGGGTTTGCTCAAAATCCTAGAAGGCGATCATCAGCTGCGAGTGAAGAGCAGGGATCACTTTACGGGACTTCATATCCAAAGTGTTCCAGACCCCATGCGGCCCGATTCAGGTCTGAAAACTTTGGAGGGGGTTTTGTAGGCAATAAAAATTGTATTTAATCCTTATCAGAGAAGTTCAGAACAAAACTGCTAAAACCTCGCACGAAATAGCAGAAAGAGGGGAAAACGCAGATATCTTCCAAACCGTAAGGAATTTGGCGAAACGGAGGAAGCGAACCAAAGCCTTTGGTTTGGTTCGGATGGCCCCATCTCGTCGAGATAGGCGATTTTCATATATAATTCGTCCAATTCCGACTTACGGTTTGAAAGTTACGGCCTATTCTTCGATCCATGCTATAGAGCTTGCCGAACGGCTTGAAGATCGCCTGCAGTTGCAGTCTCAAATCCGCCTGCAGACCCCAAGTCTGCCTGCAGTCCCAAACTCGCCTGCAGACTCAGCTCGCCTGCAAGCTCGCCTGTAGACCCAAGTCTGCCTGCAGTCCTAAGCTCGCCTGCAGACCCAAGCTGCAGACTCGCCAGCTCACTGTCAACTGCCCACTTGGAGTATGGGAACAGTTACATCAGTGGTCAAATCCCACAAATCAAGGGAGAGGGCACAATACTCCAGGCCCGTCAGATGGCCGTCCACAGTACGAATGAGCGGACAGGCGCCGAAACAGCCTGCACCCTCATAAATGCGGCTCACCTCAGTTGTCCAGGTGAAGGGACGAGAGCCGCCGACGCTCGGTGGTTGGTCAGATCCACGCAAGCATCTGACAGCCGTTGTCACGCATACGAGGAGGGGCTTTCCCAGTCCTATGTAGCGTGATGCAGAGCACAGCTCTTCGAATGACCACTGACGGTACGAATGAACAGCAGGACGTCTCCGAACGACGTGTGGTCACATCCCATAATTCAAGGAGCAGTCAAGCTGTCTCCCTCACATGGTCAAATCCCATGAATCAAGGGATGGCCCATGTCGTCCCTTGCCTACTAAAACCCATCTTCAGCCAGCATGAAAAGGGGATTTTGGCTGTTGCATATTCTGCTGGCTAATCTCCCAAAGGTTGAACTTGGACCTTTGCCAAAGGCTCCCTCATTTGAGAACCGAAGCTCCGGCTCCGGCAGCAACTTCGATCGGATCGTCCAAGGGAAGCAGACTCGGCACGAGCACCGAGCGAGGCGTCCTATCGCCACCGAGGAACCCACGTTAAACAAGGAGGGCCTTCCCTCCGCTTCTGTTGTAAACATTTGATTTATTAGTTTGTAATAAGCCTTCTTATCAATACGAACGAAGTTTCCTGTTTTCGGGAGATCAAAATTTACACATACAGACCCACTAAACACACAAAAATCTATGTAAATGTTAAAATGAGTTAGCCATCCATAATTTGTCAAATATAAAAACTATAGAAGTGTTAAGCTAATCTTTCTAGAGGGATTAATGTGAGTTAACCCCTCAAAACAAGGGGTTTATTAATACTTCTATTTTTAGAATGATTAAGAGTTAGCCCTTCTAATTATAAAGAAAATAGTCAAAATCTTTGTTATTCTCAAACATTAAAAATGATCACAATGAGTAAAATAAAACTTATATATTGAGTTAATAATTTAGTCATTCAGATTATCAAATAGATTAACTATGTTAAATGTTCCGTAACCCTTCACCACACGGGACTGAAAGGTATATTGGCGTGATTTAATGACAATTATGATTCGTTTGACACCACTCTATTTTGGAATTAGAGACAAGCTAGTCGTTGTAATTATTACGTTGACTAAGATAGAACATAACTACAGGATCGATTTATGGAATACCAAAAAACTTATGTGGACACAAGTACCGCCATCACATTGAAAACGACTAACTAGCTAAAAAAGGAGACTGAAACATATCCATAAACTTGTCTTCTTTTTTTTCCCTTCTTTTTTTTTTCTTTTTTGATAAACATATATATTTCATCTCTTACATATGCTAATACTCTATATAATTATTCAAAAAGAAAAGAAAAAAAAAGAGCACAAAAGGTGGAGAAGAACAAAAGTAGAGCACAAAAGGTAATAGAAGACTTGCAAAAGTTACAAACTTATCCAAACGTCCATGCATTAAACCCTTTAGTAAATAGAGGAAATTTCGATTTTTGCTAAAATGGGAAACAAATCTGTCCCCTTGGTCCTTTCCACAGTTGATATTCATGCAATTTTGGGCTACTTCAAAGCCCATGGGCCACAAGGCTCCGCCCAACTAGTAGCCCACCGTTCTATTTATCTTATGTTTTTAACTTATAATTTGTTGATTAAAAATCTGAGAAAAAAACTCCCGTGAATTTTGAGGAGTTTCTAAATAACCCCTTAAAGTTTGTTTATCTCACGTAACGCCCTAAATTTTAGAATGTCTCCTAAAATCCCCTGAACTTTGAACTTTACTCACTCACCAGATCCCCGTATGTGTAGTTTGCAAATAAATAAAACTATTTTGAGGTTAAAATTCCAAATTGCAGGAAGGGCTAATCTTGAAAGATTACAAAAGATTTTTGTTCTCTCTCAAAGACATTTTCGTTGCTTGCAAGTTACATGTAGGGGCATGTTGATGGTTAATATGATCACGCTGTCATTTGGATCTAGGCTAGGATTGGTTTGTCCAGTATTAAAGAGGGTCTGCTTCATTCTCTAACTTTATATCTAGTTCTTTGAGTTGGGTATCTGAAGGATCTGCACGAATAGAAAATATGTAAGAGGATGGAGTTTGATTCCCCCGTTGTACCTCCAACGATCAAGTTAGCTGATGACTTGAGTGGGGTAAATGAGGAATAGTGTGTTCTTGTAATTGTGCAATGTGTGCGTTAGAGGATCAGATTTGTGAACCTTCTCAATGTTAGAATAATACATGTATTTATACTAAGGAGGCAAGAGTAAATTGGTCACCTTGGCCGAGAGCAGAGAGGCGGTGGCGAAGTATAGGCTGACGGCCTTGTCGGCACTTGTTTTACAGGTGTCGACCAGAGGGAAGGTCGCTTCGGCATTAAATGGAAAAAGATTGACGGCATGACAGGGCCCACGTGGTCCGGTGAGTCATGAAGACCATTTGAGTCAGAGCCATGATGGCGTATGTCCTAGTTTAAATGTGATGTTGACACGTTGTCATAGAAATAGGGGCTCGAGAATAAAATAGTTCTTTAGCTTCACCGAGAAGTAACGCCCTTTGAGCCGACTTTGTAACCGCCTTACAAGTGGTCGAGTGGACTCGATACGAGTTTTTCAATAGAATGAGGTCGACTAGCACCGCCTTTCGTGTTGACTAACACCGCATTTCGTGTCGACACTGAGGGGCGTCGTCTCGTCCTGTCGGCTGAGTTGTCGGCCTTGATTGTCTTTGGTCGCTAAGGAAACCGTAGCGTAGCGTGTCGAAGTAGATTTGTCAACTACTTGAGTTTAAATTGTATTTTGGCGAAAATGAGAACACCATAACAGGACCCGATGAGGAAAAATTAAAGTTCAGGGGTTACATTTGATAAATATACTGTGAGGGTGTTACGTGAAAAAAATCCTCCAAAGTGGAATAAAAGATTCTTTCATTCCGCCCACCACCACAATCCCAAGTCTCCAAGCTCCCTCTTTCTCCTTCTCTTTCTCATCATCAAGGCGACTTCTTCGAACAAGAGAAAGAGAGAGAGAGAGAGGAAGGAGAGGGGTAAAAAAGTACAAAAAGTCGTCGGAAAAAGAAAAAAGAGAATAAAATAATTCCTTTCCAAATTTAGAAAGACTACTATCATCAATGGATACAGCCCTAATCGCCTCCAACCTCTGCCCTCTGCTCACCCCATCCTCTTCCTCTCTCAAATCGAAGCCCTATCTCCCGCTTCACGGCCGAGGATTCTTCAGTTCCCGCCACTCACGGCGACAACTCCTCCATACAAAGCCCTCGACGTCCGGCAGCGGCCCAAGCGCCTTCGCCGTTGCCAAGAACGGCGCCGTCGTCGCCAATTCAGTAAGTTCTCCTTTCGCCCTTCTCTTGTTCTAGGGTTTAGGTGATTTAAACGCCAAAATTTTTTAGCTCGCTTTGGTGATCTTTGTGTTGGATTATTGGATTGCTAGGTTTTGTTCAAGTAGAATGTAGTAGGTTGTGACGGTGCCGGAGCTGAAAACCCTAATTGAAGTTTTTCCGGTAACCAAAAAAAAAAAAAACCGAATCGAAGTTAAATGGTGCAAAAAGAGAGAGCTTTTTTTTTTCCGAATTGAAGATTTGTATTGGACCTTGAACCCGACGTAGGAAGCGGATCTTCTAATTTGTGTGTTTTAAAACGCGAAATTTGGGTCTTCTACAATCTTTTACTGACTAATCTGTGAGGGAAATTGCTACCGTGCAAATGTAGTTGATGGCATTTTAAGGCTTAATCGTATTTGTTGTGCATATTGCTATGGTATAATACAACCTAGTTCACCATAAACGGATAATATGTACTTATATTGCGTAGAGTTTTTGCATCTTATACCTTATCAAAATGGACCTTGTTTTTGTGAATTGCAGATTGATAAATGATCTTTAAACTGTGATTATGAAAACAAAACTGTTATGTGGTAGCTGGAAGTGGTACATTGTCTGTTGTTTAAGGTTTCATGAAGCTCGGTCACTACCATTTGGTTCTTGTTGTTGATTATGATCAATGGTGCCATGTCACAATTGTTGCCTAGGCGGGGCCTAGGCAGATTTTTTTTTTTTGTTTAACTGGAGTTGGACATTTCGCTAATGTTTAGAGGAGGAGAAGAAGGTGTTTGGAGTCGGTGGAGGAGCCCAGGGAGGTAGGAGGACGTGGGGTTCTAAGTGGGTGTCTAGACCCCTTTGTAAAAGTTATAGTTATGTTTTAGA